ATTCCACTAGATGTGCTCCGAAATTAAACTTGATCTTGGCATTGAATGCATTTGGCCTGTATAGAAACATGACGCGGAGAGAACCTTCCAGAGAAGCTCATGTAACTTATGTATACATAAAACTAGACAGATAGAGATTTTAATGACGCATGCCTACTCTCCTACACATAAACCCGACGCTGTAGCTACAAAGGCGACAACAAACTGGCACTAACCAGACTTGCGAAACGTAAATGATAGGAATTTTCTGCAACCAATAAATTGTAATGAAAAATAAGCATTTTCTAGATTCGGACTATGATACAAGAAAAGATGCAGAGTTTTGTATAAGTTAGCGTAGCAAATTTACTCACGACTTCATTTTTAGCCTCCATTCCGATAAAATTGGCGCCAGCAGATTCATTAAGACATGATGTACTGCACAGAGTACCGCCTTTGTCGGAGATGCTTCCCTGAGATCGTCATCCATTTAAATTGTGGTATTGATTTTAGTCTGATATGCCCTTCCTTCCATATTGTTTACACACAGAAAATGAATTCACCATTTGCTCATCTGGTGAGTTCTCAGAAGAAGCATCCCTGTCTAACGAACGCGGACGTTCCTCTGAAGGAAAGCGGCACGGAGGCATTCGAACCGATACAAGGGGACAGATCTCAGCCTGTGATTCAGAAGACGATGACGGAACGCCAAATAAACGTGATACCTAAACTATATATTATTTTATGGATTTCACCGGCCATTCACGTGCTTAAAAGGCTTTTTACAAACGACGTTTTGTAGAACCCTTTGGAAAAGATTGAAATTTATTAGTAGTAAAAGTCATAAAAGCGTCGCACACTCGCCCATCATGGCAAACGGGGCACGCCCCACCCGCCTATATTTGGTATCTCCCCTCTTATAGCCTCCATTCACTTCTTGCCGTTCACGTTTATTTCGGAACCACGCTGAAAACCCTGGCTCCGCCCAAATTGGTGCGCGCTCGACTCACCATGAACGTTCGATCTTACTTCCAGATCGCTGACATGCCCACTTTCTTCCGGATCTTCGGACTATCTCAAAGCCGACACCCTCACTGTGGGGTCTGCCACGAATACGCAGAATTTTGGTGTATACGGTCTGGGTTTTTTCAAGTGGGTTTAACACACCTTGTAGGCGGGTTGACGATGAAAAAACAGCCCATCAAAAATCGAAGCATGGGTGGTCAACGGTGCAGAGATGATGAGAAACCAATGAAAGACGGCCCAAAACTCGAGAAATGAGACTCCTTCTTGACCCGATGACGGTGCTGCTCTCTTCAACGCTAACGCTCTCTCCGCTAAACGGCTAGTCATACGGTGAGGGGGTGGGCGCGCAGACCCTTGGGTATGACCCTGCAGCGCGCTGGAGCATTAACTTCACTGCGAAACGCGGCCCACATCCTTACGGGTCGGCTTGTCTTTCCACTAGAACGGTTTCCGCTTCTCCGAGTTCCGAACCTGTCGCGAAATCCTCCTTTGAGGCGTAACTTTTGACTGGAAGCGAATCAAGATCAGTACTACTACTCACGATCGTCAGCTCAACGTTGATGCACGTCACCTTTTCCAAAGAAAAAACGGAGATTTGTTTGATCGAAACTACAGATTCATAAAGGACACCGGTCAAGTGATCATCAAAGTAAGAATCACCAAAGAATTAAAGTGTAAGAGAATGTTGTTGAATTATAACACATGCATTATCATAGAGAAAAACAAGTAACATACACTGGAAGGAGGCGAGACAGGCAAACACTGTTCGGAAGCGTTGTCCGACAATTTTTTGCTCCTTTTTCTTAACTCATTGCCTGGGAGAGGACCTTCGATGTCCAGATTGACACTGTCACAGGTACGTTTCCTTGGAGACTAAACATATGATTATACGTTGAAGGCAGCGCTATGTGTATGCGCCCCACACTCTGGAGGCCACATGGGACCGCGCGACGTGTATGCGCCTCGCAACCATGTCATTCTATTTTGCGCCGCCTCTTTTCCGATTTCTTGCATTTATTCTATAGATAACACCATACCTAACCTATAGATGACGGCGCTCACAGAATTGCCAAGTGT